GGAACGGTCGGGTCGGGAAGAAAATTATTCTAAGCGGACAGCGGGTGAACAAAGAGTGAATATATAGCGGGAGCAGGTGGGTGCGGAATAGAACCTTGCGGGAGCGGGACTAAAAAAAACAGTCCCGCGCAGACCTCTACATTCTGTCCCATTCTTTGTATTCATGCCTGATAAGCATCCAGGGCCAAGTAATACAGCTTAACAAAATAATAAAAAATAAATATTGGAGCATATTTTTACAATGTTTCAATATAATGTTTATGTATTTCAACCTAACTGTAAAACACTGTAGAAATCTTAAAAATGTTACACTTTAAAAAAAAAAAAAGAATTATAAATAACTAAACTGAATCATGTATATAAACAGCTAAAATACTGGTCAAAAGTTTGTGGTCGGTAACATTTTTTTGGTGTTTTTTATGTTCAACAAGGCTGTATTTATTTGTTCAAAAAACAGAAATACTGTGAAATATTAGTGCAATTTAACTGTAATATTACTGCAATTTAAATTTAACCGTTTTCTATTTCAGTTTATTCCTGTGATAGCAAAGTTGAATTTTCTTCAAACATTACAGTCTTCAGTGTTACATTCTCCTTGAGGAAAAAACCCTATTATGCCATTGTGATACTCAATAATTTTTTATTATTATTATCAATCATGAAAAGTTATGCTGCTTAATATTTTTGTGGTAACTTTTCCCCTAATTTTCAGAACATAGGTTGAACTTTATAAGAAATTAAAGTGTTTATGTGTGTAGGTGTGTCTGCAAACAAGAACATTGACATACCGTACAGAACTGGATGCCCCGGACACTGTTGCCAAGTTTGTCCAACGGAGGAGACCAGCACATGATGCCCATCACATTGGGCACAACCAGCAGAATACCGCCAGCCACACCTGACTTGGCTGGTAGACCCACCTGAACAAAATACATTAACATTAAAAAATTATATACAGATAAATAGGATAACCATAACTGAAGATATTGTGTTTGGCTGTAGGACTCTGGGTGGGGTTCACTAAGAATAAATAGCCTGGTTTATTTTCATGTTCTATAATGAGCTTGATTATCATTTAAATTAGGGGTGTTTGCAAACCACAATTATGTTGTATTGCAGGAAATAAGTCACAGGTTTTTATCCTGAAATACTGCATTCCAAATTGATACAACCGTTTCGTGAATTTGTATTTTAGTGTACTTTAATTAGCACAAATACTGGACACAAGTATGCTCTAAAAAGTGTCTGTGGACTTTAAGAGCATACAAAAAAATATTTGCATTTGGACAAAGCCATTCAACATTTAAAAATATCGTCGTTCTCAATTTCTGATAGCTAGGGGGATTTGAATTATGTAACTTGTATTAAAAATGACTTAATGAGGACAGGCGTTGTTTAAAAGTTTCCTTTAAAAGTTAAAGGAAATAGTGACAAAAAATGTGAAATGGAAAGGAAAAAGAGGAAAGTTCACATGATGTGGTAAAACAGTACTCCAAAATAACAGGAAGTGAGTTGGCATAAATACCGTGTGAACTACTGTGATTCTGTGTTTACTCGTGTGACTCTGCATGCACAAAAACTTACATGGAAGGCGAATTGTCCGGAGAAGTCATACATGCCGCAGGAGTGCATGAGGCTGAGGGTGTCTCGCACGGACTCGGGGCTCAGCACACGCTCGCCTGTGATTGGACAGAAGCCGCCGTTGGCCAATGTGGCAGCCATGACGCTAGCGCTCTCACACGTTACCTCGATGGAGCACAGCTGCACATATGGACGCACACACAAATAAACACATATGAATAAGAAATATTAAGCCAGGATGCCAAATCAGTTTTTATTTCAACATGCTTTGTTTGACAGCTTTCCTCATGGATTTTACGGAAAACAACACCCTAAGAATTTGACCACGTGTGTGTGGGTATGTGTGTGTGTGTGTGTGTGTGTGTGTGTATATAAGAGAAAGCCATCAGCTGCACTATCCCATTACACAAGCCGCATGATCTCAGAGGCACATGACAGTAGTCAAGGGACAGTCACCAGACTGCAGTCCTGCCATGCTTGTGCCATGTCAAACTAAGCCAGAGTCATTCATGTCAGCAAATCAACTTTCTATGTTCTCCAATAACCATTCAATTATAGTGATTTACAGATTCTGTGATTCTGATTCACAAGCTCTTGCTTTGATTTGATTCCAATTTTGATGTGATTTCTTAAATATTGATTCATTTGATAATATACTACCATTCGAAAGTTTAGAGTGAGTTTTTTTAATGACATTTTTTTTTCCAGCAAGGATGCAATGTATTTATCACAAGTGAAAGTAAACCATTTATGTTTTTATTTGAAATTCAATTTCAAGTAAAAGTTGTTCTTCAGAACTTTCAATTCATCAAAGAATCCTGAAAAAAAAAAACATTTCAGCAAAAAGATATTAAGCAGTTTTCAACATTGACGATAATAATAAAATCACCAAATCAGCGTAACAGAATGATTTCTGATTGGAGTAATGGAGTAAATAATACAATATAAATATTGTGTGT